TAAAAAACATCGAAAAATACGCTCAAGGGTATCCAGATTGTCAGGCAAGGAAGGGCCAATCATACAGAAAGACCCCGGACCTCCTTCAACCAATACAAGTAAGCACGATTTTTCACACAGAAGAAGCAACCAAGGAAAAACAATGATAGTAGTAGTCACAGACTACGCATTAAGATACGCCATCACAGCAGCACTGCCTAATGAAAAAGCATGACCAGCAGCGAAATTTTTACTTGAGAAAGTATTTTCAATACACAGGCTGCCACGACAAGTACTGAGTCATAGAGGAAAAGTCTTCCAGTCAGAGCTAGTGCGGGTGTAAGGAGACAGTTTACGACGCCATATCACCCATGCTGTAACGGCCTAAAAAAAAGATTGAATAAGACTATAGAGCATGTAAGGACCAGCCAGGGACGGACTAAGACAATGGATGAACAACAACCAAAACAGAAAGGTCAACCAGTACCTTGCGACATATTAACACAGATAGACATTACAGTAAACAAAATTTTGTGTCGCCAACATTTAGGAAAGCAATCCACTGCCAGTGTATCCCCTCCAATTTGGTTGCCAGTTGCAGTTATGAATTGATATTTTATCCTGTTATGACTTTGCTTCAAAAAGTTGCAGCTTCAAGACTAATAACGATTACTGACAACGCCGGTTTTGTAAGAATTTGTTAGACACGCTGCAATTGATTAGCATGTCAACGCGCCCATCATATAAGTTAGAGGCAGACAGATAGATGAACGAGTTGCACCAATGCGCATTTCTTGATTATTTTGGTCAAGTGAATGACGGGTTCAGAGGGGAATACGGGTATTGTTTACATCCATGATGCATCCCTACCCCTCTCGAGCCGCTCACCTCTCGTGGCCTATGAAGGGTCTAGTCAGTTCATGTTTGTATTAATAAACAAGGAGTAAGGAGCATAACAAACCAGACAACGGACACTTAAACCGTGAAACGGAACATCCCACGTCATTTTTAATCTGACACTTTCCCTATGAGGAGCAAAGGGGTGAAGTATCCCCTCGTTTTTATTTTAATCGGTGACTTCACCGATGAGTTAGCTATATTTATTTAGTGAATGGGAAATGACAATGACCGACATAGAATGGTGGATCCATCGGAAAAATTTGATGAGAATAAAAACGCAGGGTATATGGCAAAAACAGGTGTGACGTCAGGTGACCATTGGCGTTTTAATGTAGGCTGCCCCCAGCTCACATTCCTTTCGAGTATCGGATTAAAATTGACGGACTTTAGCTGACCAAACCGGCAGGAGAAAGAATTTGAGGACCGGGACCTGAGCACCAAATAGCCATTGATGCAACGGTGAGCGGAACCTAATCCAACCCACATGGTGAAAAAGGATACACAGAACTGGACCCATCCCAAGAAAAACCCCAAGGCTGCAGCAAGGAACCTTTATTTTTTCTGAGTTCATCCTTTTTATTGACTGAATAATAATCACCCGTTCCCATCCCCTAATTTTTACATAATATGTTGTATGAATCTCGTTATATGCATAGTGCAACCTCCTACTAGGAGGGTGATTAGGGGTGCTAAGCATCCCCAAAACAAACATTTCCTATCCGGCATTCCACCATAGCACTACCTTATCCTAGGTACCTAATTTAAAATAATAAAAAAATAATGGTCCAATGCTTTTCAGAGATGGAGCATATGTCAATAAGCAAAGCTACTTAGGAAAATATGACACTGTATATGATTGACTGACTTATTGATTGGCGAGTCAGCGATAAACGAATATAAATAGTGGTCGGCAACACACGGATAGGCAAACTTGAACCAGCGCAAATACCTCTTTTGGGAAAGCTCGTCTGGAAGACCCTTTACTTTAACAAATCGCACCTAACGTAGCTTTGTGTTTTAAAGGTCGCTTCCCCTGTGCCCCCATAGAAGAGGCACTATGTACCAAAGGCCATCCTTTGGTAATACTTTACTCTAAAATAAACCTTAGACTAAATACCAAGCGAGTCTCTATCCTTCTGACCCTCCGCTACGATAGGATACAGTTCTAACAATATTTCAAGGGAAAAAGCGAAAAGGAAACAATTTTAATACAAATTTAGATTAGTGGCTTTAGTGCAATTGTGACTTGTCAAGTATAGGTACCTATCAACTTCTTACTTTTTGAATAACAACCTCATTGTACCGGGTGTTTCACGTAAGGCTTCGGCATCCAGTGTTACGTGTTAAGGAAGTGACGCGCCGGGATATATAAAAAGTAACTGTCCGAATTACAAATCGAAACAAACTAATGCAAATACGGTTATCGTGGGACGAGATGTCGAGTTTTTGTGGACGATGAAACTCTAGAAATAAGACCACTGTTATCTATCGCGATAGGAAAGTATTCCTGCGACTTGCGCAGTACAAGTGAACACTTAATCGACCTAAATGTTCATTCGCCTGTGAAGCCGTCCATTATCTAGGACACATTCTCTCCACGGAAGGAATACGTCCATGTAAAGATAAAGTCGCTGCCATCATAAACATGTTACCACCGAAAAACGTCGAACAACTCTTAGGATTTATCCAAATCTGCTCATGGTTTCGTCGTTTTGTTGAAAACTTCGCCGGTGTTGCTAAGTCATTAACAACACTGACCAAGAAAAACGTCAAGTGGACCTGGGATCCAGATCAAGCTGCAGCTTTCAGTAAGCTTAAGACGATTCTATGCTCCGCCCCAATTCTGAGGCAGGCAGACAGCAGATTGCCATATATCCTACGAACGGATGCTAGTGACTACGCTTTGGGAGCGTGTCTACTCCAGGGGGAGAGACCAGATGACCGCCCAGTAAAATATGCCTCTAGACTGTTGACACCTGCTGAACAGAATTATAATACCACAGAGCGCGAAGCTCTTGCAGTAGTATGGACCTTCAAGAAGTTCAGGAGTTACCTAGAAGAATGCCGAACTATAGTGCAAAGCGATCATCAAGCCTTGAAATGGCTCATGACACTTAGGTCACCAAGTGGCAGACTTGCTCGTTGGGCACTAGAGCTCATGCCCTATGACATCAAAATTGAGTACATCGTTGGTAAGCAGAATGTCATAGCCGACACACTATCTAGACCACCATCAGAATAAACCTAGTTTCGATCGACTTTTCTACACTCAGCGCTGCAGACTTCCGAGAAAAACAATTAGCAGATCCTGAAGTGGCGAAAATTATTAAAAGTTTAGAAAACTCCAATAGCTTTAATGTCGACTTGAAGGAATGGACAGAACGTGGATATATACTAAATAACGATGTTCTGTATCGATACACGGATGAAGCCGTAGAAGAACCTCAACTAGTGGTGGCAAAGACCCATACGTGTTCACCCAGTACCACGATTTCGAGACAGTGGGCCACTACGGAAGTGAGAAAACAAACCAGCGCATAGCATTTCGATATTTCTGGCCTGGTATGAGAAAAGAAATCATAAATTACGTGAGCAGGTGCCTCTAGTGCCAAAAGTACAAGGTTAAGCCTGCTAGATTATTACAAACCCCCACGCAGAACCAACGATTTGAAGTCATAGCTATTGACTTATTTGGCCCTTTGTCTGCTAGCCGAGAAGGATTTACATGGGTGTTTGCAATTGAAGACACAGCTAGTAGATGGACCGAGCTTTTCCCTCTCAAGACAGACACGGCACAAGCATATGCTACTTGTCTAATTGATGAACTCATCCTGTGCTACGGAGTGCCCCATCATGTCATTAGTGATAGCGGTACTCAGTTCGTCAGTTCTGTTATGCAACACGTAGCAGAATGCCTTGGATTTCATCAGAACTTGATACCAGTCTATCACCCAGATGCAAACCCTGTGAAACGGAAGAATTTGGACTTGAAGACCCAGTTAGCCATTCTCAAAAACGAAAATCATCATTTTTTATGTAGAAAAAGCTTGTGTTGCCAACATAGTTACTAAATTTTTGACTTGGGGAATTATCTTGAACAGACTTTAGTTCTACCGGATTCACTCCGGCCTACTTAACCTTCGGTCGCGAGTTGCGCACCCCAGATGATGCCAATCGTTATTTTTGGGCTATTGTCGCGACATTTCTGTTTCGGTCGGCGACAAAGTACTTGTTAATTCGTACGTACTAAGCTCAATGGTACTAAGTAATATCAGTGAGACTTTTACGTCCTAGTTCGCGCTCCGACACGACGGACCTTACATAATTACGAAAGTAGTTACGCCTACTACTTACGCGGTTGCTTTATACCTAGCACGCCGGAAACGGTTGTCGGTAAATATCACGCCTCTGCGCTCTATCCATTTCGCGCATCTGAAGAAGAGGATCTGCCTGCGCCTACGCGACCTATCAGCAAGCGAGATCGCCCACACAAAAAACCAGCACCATCCACACCACCTTTTGATGTGCCTCACGTTGGGCGCCAATTTATAAGATAATTCTTAGGGAAATTGAGTACAACACGGGAAGAATTGAACGAGAACCGATATAGAAAACTGATTACTGTATATTGGTCTTGTATTAACAAAGAGAAAGAAATGAAATTTGCGTTGTTTATTGCACTATGAGCATTGACAACTCGTAGTTGACAGCCGTGCAGGTTGACATAATACAGGAGAGTGTTCGTCGTTAAGTCGTAGCCGACCAGTGGCGTGGGGTTAGGAAATTTTGTTACAATCTCCCCTTGTGCTCCACAAACTTTGAAAATAAATATTTTTTTTTTTTTAAGTGACTTTAAGAGAAATTGCATTGCAGACATTACAACTGCGACCCCTAACGGCCATCCTACAAACTTGAAAATAACTTTTAGCAATTTCTCTTGGCCTTTTTGATCAATAATTTCTTTTTTCCAAACTTCTAAAGTTTCTGGGATATAATCGATTACCTCCTTAGGTGGAACACCCGGTACCTAAAACTTTCACTACCTCCTTATCCTTAAAATCTGAGGTCAACTCAAAAGAAATGATAAAAACTAAAATCATTATGCTGTCAATTATTCTTACCTGCTGGCACTCATAAGACTATTATCCTTTTCCGAAACAGTCAAATCGTTGTCCAACTTCAGCTTATCTCCTCCATTACTCAATATATGACTCTCTCTTAATACTATCGGATCCAGGCAAAGATCTTCTACCATATTAACCCTAGAAATATCTTTTTCCAAAGGTTTTTCCACAACTTTGTTTATATGCTCCGCATAGCTGTGCGATTTGCTCAAAGTATGATTAAGTGGTATCAAATTGTTATAAACTGGCGAGTGATTCAGCGTCGGCTGGCTTTTGTATTGGACAGAGTCTTCAGAGAGTCTTTGTAAAGCAGGCGGATGTTCGCTGGAGACCAAATGTGTTACACTGCCCGCATTACTTTCTGAAATAAGTAAAGCAAATTTATATAGCAGCCAAATGAGGTTAAGGCGTATTTAGTTCAAACAAAAAAGAAACTGCATTTGTTACTATAAAGCCAAACTTTCTAAGAAAACTACCAACAGAAAACACTTACCGACACCACAAGAGCAACCCGTCAACCATACATAAATCCACCAAAAAGAAATGCAGAAAAAAATAAAAAAAAAAATAAACAAAGCACAATTTTAATGTACAATTAAATGTTTTAAACCTACACAGCTTATTTTTGGCTAAGTCTATTATCAGGAGTTATCACATACAATTAATATTTTAAAGCTGAAATTATCAAAGCAACAATTTGGAAGAATTTATATTATATAATATAATAAATATTTTTAATAAAAAAAAAAATGTGTATAGAGTATATACAAGATTTATGCTCTAGACACATTTCAAAATACAATATTGTCCTTACAACCTAACAATCCGACACATCTACAACAATTTAATATTAATAATACAGCTCTCTAAAAAATATCCTTTAGGTACATCAAATAAGGCTTTTTTTTAATATAATTCTCTTATTGCTTTATATGTATATATTTTTTGGGACTTGAAAATGTTTTTTTGGTTTTTTTAATCACTTTAGGGCACAGCACAATGTATAGTAAATGCGGATTGTGCTACGATTTCGACTTTGGCTTAAATTATTAGCAAAAAGATTCAATATTCTTCAACTTTTTCTCATATCTCATTTATTCTCTCACCTTAGTGGATCTTTGGCTTTGCTCTTTTATAATTGTTTAAAATAGGTTCATCATGGACAATCCATCAGTGTAATTTACCTACCAATTTTCATGAATGACTACACAGATTTTTATGCTTCAGAAGGAACCTTTTTCCAATAGGCTGGAAGATGAGTTTCCAAAAACAATAAAACTTTAATCTTCAAGTTTCAATAATCATTGTATCCATAGCTTTATGCTGAAATACAGACAAACAACCAAGTGAAAATATTTTAAAAATCGAATTGGTAGTTTCAACGCACACTGTCTGAAACATTGATGAACCTAGTTATCAAATCTCCTTGCCTTCTCAAAATCAATTTAACTCGCTCTGTACATACGACTGACTAAACTCCGCTCTAGGATAACCCTCAATTTTCACAACATTGTTCCTGTCAAATCGCACATGCTTAACGTTATGATTACAAAAATCCTCAGAAGTGACGTGCACATTTTCATAAACACAACTCTTTGGCCTGGGTTTCTTTTGGCCGAAATTTGAATTGTATCGTTTTTCCTGAGGCGTATAAGGACGAGTGAATTCGGTGTCTTCTACATTAGGTGGAGGCGGATCTCTATGGGCTTGATACACCAAAATTTTCGGATTATAATATCTGTCATACTCAAAGTAGTCTTCGACGCAGTTGTTCTTTAGTTGAGGCAAACTTCGGCTATTTTTGACAATATCTCCGTTAGCCAAGTTATAACGTGAAGGTAAAATTTTCGGGTTGGAACAATTATTTTTCGACGGTATTATTTGTTGCGCTAGTTGTAAGTGCCGTTTTAACGGGCTGTACGTACCTGTAGTTTCTGTTGTTTGCCTATAGATGCCGGGCAATTCTGCGGTAGTTGTTGATGTCAGATTGTGATTTTGCATTGCTTGGGTTTTTAAAGCGTAGTTTGCTAGAGGCATTGCTAGTTCTGACGTTATTGGATGGCTTATTTCTGTTCTGTAACTGTCGGTGACTATGCCTCTCCTATATAAAAAAAAATTGATTAGGATTTGTGAAATTTTTTGTTTGTGAGGAGTAAACTGCAGAATAATTTAGAAGAAATTAGAAAACGTGAGAGAAATAATTATGATGGAGGAAATTTTTATGTTCAATTTCAAACTCATGCTCATACATGTAATTTTTCAATTCTTACTAGAGTACTCATGAACATTATTCTCCAAAACTCAATTATTCATGAAATATCAAAGAAGAAACTTATTTCAGTGATTCTAAATATTTTATTAAAACTCAAATCACGAAATTTATTCAAGATATAATATTTTCTATTTCATCTTGTAGTTTGTAGCGCATTCAATTTTGATTTAGAATCATTTACCAAACCGACGAAGACGAGTTGGCGATTGTTCGGTGGAGTACAAGAAAGGATCAAACCATAAAGATGCCGACTGCATGTCCCGAAACCCAGTCCTACAAATTGACCCAAACAAAAGCGAAGAACAAGAAGAACTGCCAACATTTGCGACAAGAACAGTAGAAATGAGAACAATGCAGAAAAGAGACCCGGACTTAAATGAAATTATAAAGGCAGTGAAAAACCCAGACAAGCCGGATATTAATATTGGAACCAGAAGAAGAGCAAAAAATTTCAGAATCGAAGATGATTTATTGTACAAAGTGAATAAAACGCATAAAGGACTAGATAAGGTGCTGGTAGTACCGAAGGCAATGAGGGAAGAAATCCTATGGGAATTGCACGCATCACCAACCTGTGATCATCTAGGACTCAGCAAAACGATAGATAAAATACGGAACCGATTTTTCTGGGATGGAATGTTAAAAGACATTGAAAAATACGTCAAAGGGTGCGTAAATTGCCAAGCAAGGAAGGGACAGCCCTACAGGAAACCTCCTGGGCCCCTTCAGCCGATTAAAGTGGGATGCGTCATGGATAAAGTGGGAATAGACTTGCTCGGTCCATTTAGAAGAAGTTCAAATAACAAAACTATGATAATAGTTGCGACAGATTATGCGTCACGCTACGCAATCACGGCGGCACTGCCAAATGGAAAGGCAGGCCCAGTGGCGAAGTTTATTTTGGAAAAAATTATATTGATATACGGAGCCCCAAGAACACTGTTGAGTGATAGAGGAAAGGTTTTCCAGTCCGAGCTAGTAACAGAACTTGGGAAGATAATGGGAGTAAGAAACCAATATACTACAGCGTACCATCCCCAGTGTAACGGCCTTACGGAAAGGTTGAATAAGACAATGGCCGATATGCTGGCAATGTACTGTAACACACAGCAGACTGACTGGTGTAGTTACGTTCCGTTCGTCACCTTCGCTTATAACACAGCGATTCAAGATAGCACACAGCTAAGCCCGTTTATGGTAACTTTTGCCAGGGAACCGACTCTACCGTCGGAAGCAATGTTGATTGATGATGACTCGGAAACGGATATACTACACCTGAGGGAGAAAGCGCTGGCTATAAGGGCAATAGCAGCAGAAAATATACTCAAAAAACAAGTAAAGGATAAAAAACGATTCGATAGCAAACATAGAGAATTAAAGTTTGATATTGGGGATAAAGTTAAAATTTTCGTGCCGGTAAAAAAAATAGGCCGCAGCGAAAAATTGTTGTTAAAATGGTTTGGGCCATACAAAGTTTTAAGAAAATTAGGAGAAGTCGATTATGAAGTGGAAAAAATTGGCGGGAAGAAAAAGGACACGGTCCATGTAAGTAGGATACTCCCCTACTGCGACCCGTGGACAGCGGAGTCCCCAGTTTTAGAAGAAATGTTAGAGGAATCAGAAACAGAGAGTAATGTTGATGAAAATGAGGAAGAAATAGAGGAAATCAGCGAATACTGAGGCCTCAAAAATTAGTACCAAATCGATTGGGATCGCGACCCACATCGGAAACATAAAACTTTAAGATAGAAAAAATATACCTACTCATCGCTATTAATTTAATGAGCATATTTTTAATATAGCATATAGAAACATAATTATTATGATAATCAAAAAATCGCAAGCATTGCTTTATTCTATACCACACAAGTCTGCTATTAATATTCGTCATATATTTGGTGTATAAAATAAACCAAAATTTGATTAATAAGCAAACTTATACTCGAGCAGAACCCACGGTGTATAGCCTATTGCTTATTGAGAAACTAGAAAACAATGAAATCAGATGCAAGCTAAGCAAACCAACGCCAGCTACAACAATGGTTGCTGACGGAAGTACCTACTGCAAAATCAAGGCTTGAGCCTAAAATAAGCGAAAGAATTATTACAGGAACGTAATGAACAAATTTGTATTTTTTTTTTTTTTTTTTGTTTGTAAGTTGATATAATAGGATATAAAAATATGAAATAATATTAGGTAAAATATTGCTGGCCAGCAACTTAATGGAAATTAGAGATAAAGTTATAATATAAATAAGGATACATAATATAAGGTCAGGTATTAGGTTATAAAAAATATATGTATATAGCAGGTATAACAAGGGATAGTAAGTAAGGATAATTATTATTATATATAAATGATAAAAAGGTAAGAGATTTCCGTACTATAGGATGTAAATAAAAATCGAAAATTTTGTAAACTTTGCTAATCACTGTTGTATAGTAAAACAAGGCAGAGGCGTCTCAACCATAACCTTCCAGTGGCAGCGGGAACTTCAAAGGAGAAAACTCAAAAAGCTAGGGGCACTATTCAAAGCGCCACAACCACGGAACAAGCTTCCAACCAAAGGTCCCCTACGAGAAACAAGGTCCACTATGAAAAGCAAACCACGGGCCAAGAATCCACGACATTGGATACACTAGCCCAGATACCACGACATGCGGAAGACAACGCCATCTACAAAAGCAATTGTTTGAACCAAGACCACATCTTCAAGACCAACCTAGGCCAATCGCTAGCCTAGATCCACGACATGGGATCCAACAACCTAGATACCACGACATGCGTGAAACGTTGTCAGAACATCTACAAGAACAATTGTTTGGACCAAGACCACGACATCTACAAGACCAACCTAGGCCAATTGCTAGCCTAGACCCACAACGTAGATCCACTACCTTCAGTCAAAGTCTGAGCCAATAAGCCTAGGCAACACAGCAGAAGACGTTGTCAGAACACAAGGAGTCACTGACATGAAAGCAAAACCAGAACATCTACAAGAGTGATCCAGACAAACAAGCCTTGGAACCACCAAAACCCAGAGAATCACCAACGAAGTAGAAGCAAACCGCAGACACTGTTCTAGTGTTCGAAGCCATGGAAGAATGGACACGCACAAAGAACTAATCACGAAGAAGAAGACGCCCGAAGATGAATAATGTAGTTTTAAGTTTTATTTAAAGTTTTTGTATTTTTTTTAAAGTTTTTGAAGCCAGATACGTCTCCTCGGGCATTGTGAGGCCAATGCCTTCATCGGGAGGGGCATGTGTCAACCCTACCAAAAAACAATTTCTAATATTTACTTTCTTCTTAGTCACTCCCATATGTACGAACCACAATTATTAGCTCTTTTAAGCTTCAAAAAAACCTTAGTGATGATTACTGATCTTTTAAAATATGATTTGTATCGGTCTAATGAAGGGCCGATATACCGATACACCGATATACCTGAAAAACACCGATATACCGATATGCCATATCGGTATCGGTCGATCTCTGCTGGGAACCCTTGCAATAATTTTTGATTTGCATTATAGATTTCTTTTTTGATAACATTGTAATTTTTGGAAATGGGATTCAATATTAGGCAATAAAGGGTACTGGCCTTATTAGGTACATGGCCTTATTTGGGTCAGGTACCTTATATAGACAAAAAAGACTCGTGTTTCATTAAAAAAGCCGCTAAAATATGTTTTTCCAGCTAGATCCCGAAAATTTCACACTGTGCAACGTCTCAAATCTACAAGGAAATTGTTTGTTAAAAGTTGAACACATTGTGCACCTAGAAAAATTCAAACTTATGCTAAAGATTATACACAGTCAAGTCAAGACAAGTATCAAACCTATAAAAAATACTGACATACATGGTTATTGCACTAGACAGCGTGGCAATCTGCACATAACATCATCAAGAACTAACATTGGAAAGAACAGTGTAATTAACAGTCAACAGAGCAATGATGACATACAACATACAACTCATATTTCCGAAAATATACGAGGAATAACTATTTCATAAATAAAGTTCCTGGTTCTCCTTTGGCTCTTTTCTTGTTTTCTTGAAGAACCCTATTTGTATAATTGAATATTATTTTATGTATACTTATTGCTGCTACACCCCAATTATGATTTTTTATTATTAAGTTTATTAGAACTTGGTTTACTTTTTTTTTTACATTGAAAATTCATATTTTTGGTGCTCAGGCTATGGGCCCAGAAAACAAATTCTGATAAATTTGGAAATAAGTACCTAACTGAGCTTGTTTGTTTATGGAAGATGACCTCGAACTCGGGAAATTATGCCGTGGAAAAGTTTAGAATATTTCAGTTTGATGGTAAGGACTATGACCATTGGAAATTTCGAGTTGAAACTGTGCTTGATCACAATGGGGTTGAAATTTGTGTGAAACGGGCTTTAAATCAAAATTCACAGGACGAAGTAAAGCTAGACAAGAAATGTAAAAACATTTTTGTACAGTGCGTCGCTAACCCACACTTGAAGTACATAAAAAATGAACCAACATTTTGTGATATGTCGTTGACACATAAGAAAGTGTTTCAACAAAAGGGCATTGCAAAACAGCTTTATCTGATTGTTAACAATAAGGTTAGAAAAAGGCGGAACACTTGAAAAACATTTTATAAAATTTGAGGAAAAGGAAACTGTAAAGGAAATTAAAGTACATAAAGTGTGTTTTTTTTTTTTGATAAAAGTCAAAATGACATTATGTTGGCAATTCAATGTAAAATTGTCAATGCTTTCAAATTTTTTATGTAGAAAAGGCTTGTGTTGCCAACATAGTTACTAAATTTTTGACTTGGGGAATTA